ATTTAGAGATACCCCAAAATACTGGCCCTAGAATTATTGCTCTCACTCCGGCGTGCGCGGCAATACCCAACATGTGTAGCGCGTTGGTCGTTTTCATACGTAGGCGCACCCGACGCGTGTGCTCGCGGGGGCGGGGACTTTTAAATTTTTTTATTATTAGATTTATTTTATTTCATTTTAAAAATTGTTTTTTTGTTTTTTTTAACTTTACTTTGACTGTAGCAGATAGCAGATGGTGGTGACAGGTACTCTTTAAGGTGATGCTGGGGGTCCAAAAGACCCCCAGTGTCACCTTCACACTAGAAATCAGCTATTGAAGTGCAGATCGCACTTCAATAGCTTATAGCTGGGCTGCAGGAGCCCAGAACTGACAGCCCGGGGACCGGAAGTGATGCAATCTGCATCGCTCCCGGTCCCATAGAACGGGGAGGGGATCGATGAACGGAAGTACGTCGATTTCCTCCCCAGCTCCCCACGGACACCAAGGAAGCCGGTCCCGTAGGAGGGGCAACGGAGCCCAGGAAGCACGGCGGGGGTGTCTGGCGGGGGGGGCCCTTCTTTAGGACACAGAAGCGATCTGGCGACAGGTAAGTCGCCAGAATCGCTTCTGTTGTAAAGCCGACAGTCGGCTTTACAGGTTTAAACAGAGTCCCGGCGGCAAAAGTCGCCGGGAGTCTGTTTAAACAGCCCCGATGCTGGCGACGTACACTGTACGTCGTCAGTCACGAAGGGGTTAATCATCAAGAAGCAGCATCCATTGTAAGTGATTTCATCAGCATTTGGAATAGCTTAAAACCCATTTGACTTTACTATCACTTTAAGTCCCGTGACTTTACATATGTTTATGCCAGCACTCCACCCTTCCATTATATGCATATATTTGTTTCACCCATTTCTTGCTACAGGTTACTATGCATGTTGCACACCGTCTTACTGAAACTCCTGAAAGTGTTAAAGACTACTTGGCCCAAATTCAAAAACATATGATTAAATATACAGTGTAAGCTAAAACTGCAACAAATGCAGTACTTTTCAGTGGTGGGAAAAAAATGAAAACCATAAACGGTCTCATAAGGACGAGGTTTGCACTTTTTATTAGACCTTCCTTGTTTTGATTGTTATACAGACTACATGAGGCTCGGTGTGAGATCCAGAGCCAGGTTCCACAGCGGGCTCTGGAAGAGAGCAGGATCTGAGTCAATATGGAAAGGGAGGCAATCTGCAGGGACAGGAGGTTTGGGAGAGGATCATGCTGAGGCTTGGAAGTCAAATGTTCTGTTCTCAATTCTTCTGCCAAAGTCAAGTCAAAGCCTGTCATTCAAGGAAGGGCCTGCAGATCTCAGGGAGGTGATGGGAAAAGAGCCAATGTTTTCTCATTTTATTCAACTAACCCGAGGACTTGCTGGAGCTGGAATGCTCACATATTACGCAAATGTAAGTTTATGGCACTGGTGTTATCTAGACAAAATCATTCTTCTGTCAGATGTTATTGAGGAATCCATTATAATGAAGCAACATAGCACATTTCAAAAGGTTGTCCTAATCCTTGGGGAAGATGAGGATCCAGAGGAGAAGCCAATGCTATATGCTACATCAAATGCAGAATGTGTGAAGACCAAAAATTAAACCTCACAACCACTTTGGGATCCCAAAATTATTTGGTAGATTACATTTATTATCATGGATGAGACTAAGGGGTCTATTCACTAAGCTGCCGAGGGCAGCCGAGTGAATGACCGATTTGAAGTGAAGTGAGCCGAACACTGTTCGGCTATTCACTTCAGGCTGGTACGGCTGAAGTGAATAGCCGGCTGTCAGAAGCAGGCTGTCGGCCGGCCAATGGCTGACCGCTCGGCCAGCTTCGGCTTTCAGCACGGCTCAGCCGAGCCGATGCATATGCGTTCGGCTGGACTGAGCCGCTCGGCCATGATCGGGAGCTGTACGGGCTATTGTGAATAGCCCGTACAGCACCCCTTTGGTTCTACTGAACCGAAGGGGTCCTGGGGCCAAAGCTACCGAAGGATCGGCCGAAGCTACGGCCAGATCCTTCGGCAGCTTCGTGAATAGACCCCTAAATGTTTAGCGGTGATGGCATGTAATAATTTTACTCCAAACACAGTAAACTGTTAAAAGGCTGTATCAAAGTAATTATACTAAGGCTTATACAAATCCTAACTGGCCTTTACCTTGATCTGTGTTTGTAAATGCTTTTACTGACATTAGTGTGCCATTGCTAGACCTTACTGGAAATAAAGGACTAGGCAAAAGAGTCTGTCAAATATTTTTGGCCAATGTATCTATTTTACTTTATTTGCCAAAAAAAATTGTACTTTTCAAAGCTATTTTTCATAAAAATTATTTGGTGTTGAAAGTCTGAGCTATGGGCTCAAACATCTGTAAAAAATAAGTCAAGGCAACTGGACTTGCTGTAAATTTTCTTGAAGACGTTTCACTGATCATCCGACCAGCTTTCTCAATTCAGAATTACTTGTACAAAAATACTCTGGGAATAAATATGGTGAATGTTACTCCAATCCACATATTCTGTCACACCAGGTGTTGATTGAATTTGCATAATTGGAGTCTAGGAAGTGTTAATAACCTGCCAGACAGAGGTGTTAAAACAGCATTGTATGTGGCAGACAATAGATGTCTCACCACCACCCCACCCCCCCTCCTCAAGCTTGGCTTCTCCATCTTTACATAAATGGCCTCTTTCACACCTCTTTTAAAGCAGTCCTCCTCCCTGTCTAGGATGCGCACTTGACGGTCTTCAAAAGGAGTGACCTTTTTCCTTTAGATGTAGGTATACTGCTGAATCCTGACCAGAGGGTTTTGGCTCTGTGGATGTGGGGCAACATTCACCATATTTATTCCCAGATAATTTTTTTACAAGTCATCCTGAATTGAGAAAGCTGGTTGGATGACCAGTGAAACGTCTTCAAGAAAAATACAGAAAGTCCAGTTGCCTTGACTTATTTTTACAGATATACCACGACCTGGGCTTCACAGACATATGGGCTCAATGTAAGATATTTCTCCATTCTATATCAAACATTCTGATCTCCGTCATCCCCTTTAGCAAAGTTACCTTGTCTTGTGGTACAATACTAAAGCAGGCCCATGGATAGGTGAAAACTGCCAATCAAACATCAGCAACAGATGAAAGTATAAACGTGTATTATTCAAATCCCTTTCTGCCCATGCACAGTGGTGGCACAAGGGGGGTGCGGCCCACACCCGGGTGACACCATTGGAGGGGTGACACCAAAATGACTCACAGTCATTTTGGTGTCACCCCCCTCTGAAAAGTCAGGCGCTCGGTCATGGA